ACAGGATATAATATTATTGTCCTAGACTGGTAGCCGTTAGGGCAGTTTCGACTGTCACTATACTAGACTAGTCATACGCCAGGAGGTTGTGGCGCCCCACCGTTGTAGGAATTTTGCGTCTGACTTTCCTCACGTCCGCGTGGCTGATTTTAGCTGTGACTTGTAGCCAATGTCCAGCTTCTTAGGGAGAAGAAGAGACGGGCGTCTGTGCAGTAGGGGAAAGTACATGCCGCGCGTGCAAACAAACGCATAAACACATATTACTCATATACAAACACGCATACACACACACACGCAAATAAACACACAATCACACATTTACTAATACACACTCGCAAACAAACACACAATCACACATTTACTCATACACACACGCAAGCACATACACACGCAAACACAAACATACACACATACAAATATGAAACATGTAATCACACACACTCACACACACACTCACTCACGCACACGCAAATAAACACACAATCACACATTTGCTAATACATACACGCAAACACATACACACGCAAACACACACACATACACAAACACACAAACAAACGTGTATTCACACACATATACACACAAAGCAAACACATACTCTTACACACATACATTCATAGGACACGTGTATGTGCTTGTGTGTGTGTGTGTGTGTGTGTGTGTGTGTGTGTGTGTGTGTGTGTGTGTGTGTGTGTGTGTGTGTGTGTGATGTGATGTGTGTGTGTGTGGTGAAACACGAAACACGAAACCAATGTGCAAAGATCTGGAGAGTAAAGATGTATCCTACCTTATCGTATCATATCTTATCTGATTTGATCTTATCTTATCTTGTCTTATCTAATCTTATCTCCTTATGTCCAATCAGCAGCAAAATAAAGGCAATGTTGCGGCACTTTTCGAATTATCCCACATAAATTTATCAGAAAAATTAATTCGTGATAAGTATTTTGTTGCCTGCCTTTATTAAGTTTCAATTAAGTAAGACAGAATTGCAATTTAAAAAATGTTAAGTATGAATAACGAAGTTTTACTATTTTTTATAGTTCCTAAAAACAGCACATCCGCAAGAGTTGCCGATTGACCAGAAGGCTGGTCCTTAATAAGTTTTTGTCTTGTCTTATCGTTGATCTCAGTCATTATCTCATCTATTCGTATCTTGTCTTAACGTTGATCTCAAATAGTTTACGTTCGGGTCGCTGCGGCCTGTAAGTTTAGAAATGGATCTGCTTCGTGAAAAATTGAGCTTCGAATTCTTGAGGAATCCGAGCTATTAATTATCTCCACCTCCCTATTATTTCTCCTCTCAGCCCCGTGTCGGGATCAAGAACAAATGTGAGGCAGCGTGGTGGAATCAGGCTCTCGTCAATTTTGGGACATGTAGAGTTATTGGTATTATCTTAAAGCTTGTTTACTTGTCTTTATTTGGATGAAAAAAATATCCATTTATCTTGAATACAAATCGTGATATTTGCGAAAGAAGGAGGTGGGGGTCACCTGTTTTCAGAGGTAAAATTTGTGAGAAAATGGCCTTCAAAGATTAGTTATTTCCTTAGCTTAAGAGTCCATGGTAACTGAAAATTTACAATTTTTGTGCCTTTAATCAACGTTTTTCAGAAAAATCCACACAGAAATGAGTTCTTTAATGGGCATGAAAGGTGTTGGGCCAAAAAACATAAATTTGATAAAAATTCACAAACCTGCAGAAAAATGCCAGTATCTTCACTTTGATTATTTTGACGAGAGCCTGATTTCACCACGCTGCCTCACAAATTGTTCCGTAGTTCTAATGGGCTACTGTCCTCTAGCAGAGGGTAAAGTTTTGATGGGAACAACAACAAAAACAACAAAAAGAAAACATGACAACAACAACAGCAACAATAACAACAACAAAAACAACAATGACGACTACGACGACGACGACAACAAAAACACCAATAACAACAACATTCAACATAATGGGTAGCAACAGTAACAACAACAACATCAGTAACAACAACATTCAACATAAAAGTAGCAACAGTAACAACAAAAACAGCAACGAAAAGTGCAGCAGTACATTGTTAGTGTTTGTTCTTTTCCTTTGACTATTCAGTTTACCTATATACTTCTAAGTATACTTAAAGCATACTTTTAAAAAACGCCTAAGAATTGCACACTTAATAGATATCTACTTCCAAGGATAAATGCAACATACAAAATTTTCTCTCACATTGTTGACCAACCTGACCTGGTAATCTGACTTCCTTTCATTTTCAGACATTGTAAAGATGCTCCCCAACATCAAACGGGGACCTTGGAAAAGTGTTCCCAACAAGGCGAGCTACAACGTCCTCCTCCCACCCTACCTCTCCCCGCCCACACAGTCCTCAAGGGTGGCCAACCCTCTCATTCAGAAGTCCACTTATCGGGCACAGACATCGCCGGCCCGGCCACCAAACTACGTCAAAAAGGACATATTCGATAATGATAGACGTGGGAACAGGATAGAAGGGGAGAGGGAGGAAAATACGTATGAGCGAAGGACGAATAGGATTAGTGAAGAGAGCAACAAAAACAGATATGATCGACAAAGAAATCGGATAAATCTGGTGAAAGAGGACGATTCCAGTTCCAGCGAACGGCGCACAAACCGGGTAGATCAAACAAATCGGATAAATCAAGCTAACCGAATAGATCTCAACTCACGACCCGCAAACAGGATAGATCGAGAAAACCGGATAAATCAAGTGAACCGAGTAGATCTCAACGCACGACCCACAAACCGGATAGATTCAACAAACCGAATTGCTCAAGGAAATCGATTAGGTCAAACAAACCAAATCGATCAATCCAGAAACGGTTACCCCTACGAACGACGTACAAATAGGATTGAGCCAGACTCTACGTATCAACAACGACACCGAACACGTAATCATACACGTCACTATGACGTCACGGATTCCAGTCGACGTAGAAGTGACCACGGAAACAACATCGCTCTGTCTAACCGAATCCCTGAAGTAAGAGATCCCGTTAGGTACAACCGACCTACGGTCAGCACAGACACACAAAAAAGGCAGCACATGAACGTTAATATCGCTACTCCACCCAACTGGTCAAACAACAGACGTTACAACCAGATCACTGGACATCGGTCCCCTCCGTCCACTGAGATGTCAGACAAATATCCCAGACTACCCCAGGGCCCTTCAGTTAACCAGACTTCTAGGAGATATGGACAACACACCAACAGAAATTACCAACTTCCGCGAAACCAGTACAGGCAGTCTCTTCAGACGACACAACCTCCATCGACAAGAACCACGGTGGATGGTATCCTACGTTCACCACAAAGACCATCAGTTTACAATCAAGTAGAATCTTCGTACCAGAGACCATCTAGAAGACAACCAAAACCTGTCGTTATAAAAGCAGTTTATAATAAGAAAGACTCTTCCAACAACAGGATTCTGTCCGGACAACGAACCTCAGCTACCACAGTGACGTCGTCGCCATACAGGTCATCGGTGGTTGTTAACATTCCCAGACAAAGACAAAGACAACCTCAGGTAGATATCCCCATTCCTGCAAAGCGGTTGACAACCCCGAAGGCAAGAGTGACGTCACCGCCTCGATGGCTTCCGTGGATTACGACATCAACGACAAGACCATTTGTACCCAGAATTCCTTCCTCTCGACAAGAACAATACGAAAATATCAGAAACGGGTCGTTGCGGAGAGGACCATATACACTCGTGCACGTAATTTCACCTACACGGAATAATTCAGACGCTAAACGACCATCAACGAATGTCAAGTCGCCCCGAGGACGAAACCCTTCAGAAGCTACCGTCACGCCTACGAGACACAGAGGGTCAATTTCGAGGAACAAAATAGAGAGGGGAAATATTTCTCATGTCACAGCCACCTCCAACACCGGAGAACTCTCACACACTGCTCATCTAAAACCTTCAAGACAACACCATTTTTCACGCTTGCAGCCCTCTACTAGACACCATGGCAGGACACACCAAAGTAAAACTTCTAAACCGCGAGAGCGTACTTCCGTTGATTTGACGTCACACACTAAGAAACAAAAGCCGGAGAAGGGGAATAACTTACTACCTCAGCCACTCAGAGCGAACTCGACAAAGAAAAGAGTTCCATCAACAATGCCAACTTTAACTTTACCTCCCTTGGTAACCAATCCGTCCACCGAGAACAAACAAAACAGGATCACAGGCAGTACCAACCAAACATTAACAACGGGGAGGACACATAAGTCTAAATTCTCAAAACTGTCCCCAAAATGGCGTGAAGAATCTACACAATATGAAATAAGCAAGAAGCAGCGGAAAGACAAAAATAAAGACAAAGACACATCAGACACAAGTAGTTCTGATTCCGTAAGCAAAACGAAGAAAAGGGAACAAAATATAACTGACAACCGAGTGGGGAATCCCGAAGACACGAGAGAAAAGCCAAAACACAAGAAGAACAAAGGGGCTCGCTCTAAGGCGCGGAAATCTCAAAGAGCTCGGTGGAGAGCTGAGGAGTCCGGCAGTGAGACAGAGAAGAAAGCGTGGAAATATCACCGGAGGAACGGCAAGGTCATGAAGAACGGACAACACTGCGGGGACAGGCATCCGGCGTAAGTGACCAAATTCCTTGTCCATTTTGCTCTCTTGTTATTGTGTTATCTATGCGAATTGATTATAATAATTATTGTTGATTTCTCATTTTTATGACGGCAGACGAGGAAAGTGTGAGGGAGGGGGGGGGCGAAAGAGAAAGAGAGAGAGAGAGAGAGAGAGAGAGAGAGAGAGAGAGAGAGAGAGAGAGAGAGAGAGAGAGAGAGAGAGAGAGAGAATTC